CAGAAAGAAAGAGAAAGAAAGAAAGAGGAAGGAAGGAAGGAAGGAAGGAAGGAAGGAAGGAAGGAAGGAAGGAAGGAAGGAGGCAGGGAAGGGGGCAGGGAAGGAGAGCGGGAGAGAAGAAGGAAGGAAGGACGTTAAACTGAAACTCCCGGCCACCCCTAGTGGCTATTCAAGACAAGCTGACTTGCTTTCATTTCTCCAAACTTCTCCGGAGCCCCCCCTGCCACCAACCCCCCCCCCCGCTGGAGGCCTTGCCCAGCTGCCCGAGGCCCCTCGCCTACCTACCTTCCAGCAGTTTGGGCAGGAAGTGAGCTGAGGCCTTGGTCTTCTTGACCCGGTTTCCCTTCATCACTTGCCCTTCGCGGTTGATGCCCAGGTACCAGGAGCGTCCCGATTCCCGTTGCCGGTAGAGGGTGGAGGAGTAGGTGACGTAGTAGTTCTCAAAGACGCATTCCTTGAAACGGCACTCGGCGGTGAAGTGAGCCTGGGGGCAGACGGGGGCGGGGGGGAGGTTATGCCCTGCAGGAAGAGAAAGACCCCCCCCTCGGCCCCCTCCCCTTAATCAAGTGCCCGCCTGCCCCAATGCCCGCCGATCGGGAGATGGGATCGGACGGAGAATTCGCTTCGACTTATTCAGTTGGAGACGGAGAACGACGACGGGGTGGAACTTCAACTCCCAGAATTCCCCGGGCTCAGGGATTCTGGGAGTTGACGTCTACCCCGTCGTAAAAGGGGGCACCATTCCCCACCCTTGTGACAAGAAAACAGAGGTGGAGGAGGAGAAAGGCCTTCCTTCCTCTGCCAGTTGGGGAAGATTCCTGTAGTCCAGGCAGAAAGCAATGAAGGCGCGACCTTTGAACTCTGCGTTTGTAGATCTGGTTCTTTGTGCGTCAATGAGCGTGGGAAAAGAATGAATTAAGGCCAAATACAGGGTTTAAACCCTTCTTTGTGGGGGGGGGGGTGTTTCCCTCTGAAACCCCTCTGACTGGCTTGCCAATTTTTCTAAGCAGTCTTCTCGATTGACAGATCGACTCATTTAACGACCGTTCAAAGTTACAACGGCATGGAAAAAGCGGCGTCTGATCGTGTTTCACGCTTACGACCATTGGAGCATCCCCCAGCATTCATGCGATCGAAATCCGTCAACCGGCTCGCATCTACGACGCTCGCAGGTTCCTAGAGGGTCACGCGCTCCCCTTTTTGCGACCAGCCAACTCCAGAGCCACTTAACAACCAGGTGAGGGGCTTAACAGCTGCCGCGATTCTCTTACCAACGGCAGCAAGAACGGTGGCAAAACAGGACACAATTCAGCCACGAGTGTCTCGTTTAGCGACGTAAATTCGGGGCTCCGTTCTGGTCGTAGTTTCGAGGACCCGCCAGTATTAAACTGATAGGCAGCCGGTCCCACAAACAAGCCGCCCTCATTTTTGGTTCGAGGCCGACCCCTCAATTCAACCACGAGTGTCTTGTTTAGCGACGTAAATTCAGGGCTCCGTTCTGGTCATACTTTCGAGGACCGCCAGTATTAAACTGATATGCAGCCGGTCCCACAAACAAGCCGCCCTCATTTTCGGTTCGAGGCCGACCCCAAAAACTATCTGCAACATTTAAAAAAAAAATGTTTTGGGGGAAAATTTAATCTTAAATGTCTCTTCCTAACAGGCGAAAGGATTGGAAGATGGGATTTCTTTTTTATTTTTATTTTTTACAACGGGATTAAGGGCGAAACCATGTTCCTNCCTTGAAAAGCGAAGGCAGTTCCTTGTGCAATAAAGAAGACTCCCATACTCACATGAATATTCCTTTAAAAAAAATAGGCCTAATGAAGAGCTTGCCCAATAGGATTCCAAGCAAAGCATTGCTTTGCCAACAAGAGAAGGAGCAACCCTAGGATGTCCCATTCAACCCAGCGCCTCCTAGGCTTCTAAACAAGGAACTACCATTCCCGGCATGCTTTGGGTTTCAACCCAGCGCGCAGGCGCACCGGAGAGCAAGCTCGGCTTGGCTGAGAAGGTGCTTAAACGGGAGGTGAGTTGGAAAAGGGGAGAAATGCTGGGGTGGGGGGAGCGGGAATACCGAGAAAGGGGAATTGAGGAGTGGGGCCGAGCACCCCCAATCGCAACCCGCTGCAACCCTCCTACGTGCCGGGGCTGCAACTCCCGCTGCCTGTTGCAACCGCGGGCGGGGATAAGGGGACTTGTAGTCGTTCCAGTTCATTTGGCTCTGCAAAAGGCTTGAAAGAGGTTCGCGCTATTCCCGGGCAGGAGAGCCCCCCCCCCCTTTTTTCGGGCTCCCCACTGCATGTGGGGTGTGTCAGCCCAGGAGCCTCAGAAAGGTCGGCAGTTCGGCGGTTCGAATCCCTAGGACAGGTCGCCTGCGTCAGGAGGGGGTTGGGCTAGATGACCTCCAAGGAACCTTCCAACTCTCTTACTGTTTACTGCAACTGTTTACTGTGGGGAACCTCGATCCTCGTCGTCTCTTTCATTGCCAACCAGCTGCATGACCTGGTGGGGGGCGGCCAGCCTTGTGTAACCCTAGCGGAAGGAAGGGCAAGGCTGCCCTCCCCCAGGGAAATCAATTTGGGGGTGCAAAAATAGGGGAATTTCCCCGACACTTTCCCTGCCCCGCGAGGATCCCACCTGCTGCATTGCTTTCTCTGGAATAGCAGCTGTTTCATCTTTTAAAAGTGGCCTTTCTTAAAGTTTTTGCTCTTAGAGCCCCTCGTCTTTTGGAGGACGCCCAAAGAGTTCTGCTTTGCGATGGGGCTGGATATAAACATACATATTTATTAATATATACAATGTCTATTTTTATTTTTCTCTCTGTTTCTTTGCATGTATGCTGAGTGCTTCTGTGTTGTTCTTAGTCGTGAAGTCGTGTCCGACCCATTGCAACCCCTTGGACAACGTTTTTCCAGGCCTTCCTGTCCTCTACCATCCTCTGGATTCCATTTAAGCTCACACCGACTGCTTCGGTGACTCCATCCAGTCACCTCCTTCTCTGTCATCCCCTTCTTCTTTTGCCCTCCATCGTTCCCAGCATGAGGCTCTTCTCCAGGAAGTCCTTTCCTTCTCATTAGGTGGCCAAAGTCCTTGAGTTTCCTCTTCAGGATCTGGCCTTCTAAAGAGCAGCCAGGGTGGATCTCCTCTAGGACTGACTGTTTTGATGGCCTTGCAGTCCAAGGGACTCGCAGGAGTCTTCTCCAGCGCCAG